GGCAGTGAATTGCCCTCTCTGACAGCTGGAAGTTGACTCACACATTGGTGTTTCATCTGTGGTGTGTGGTGGGGTCAGATCACTGCCAAGCTTTGTAAGACATGCAAGTTAGCTTTGACAAACAGTTACAAACAGCAGCACGAACACCTGAACGAAATCTAGTGGAAGAGTGCTGCAAAAAAAAAAAAAATCCTCCCTTTGTGCTCACCTCAGCTAGGCTTGAGACTATAATTTGTGGGAAATGATCTCATTTTAATGTGAGCCTGTAATTTTGTAAGTATCCTTCACAGTCCTGAATCAATATTCAGGGTTAGGAAAAAATGGCTGAATGTGAGTTTCACAATGTTATTACAGGCCTGTTGCATAGGATTGCCTTATATTTGAACAGGTGCCGTCTTCTCCACCTTCAGAATGTTATAACAGGTCATCTTAGGTAAGAAGAGGAAGAAGAAAGTTTCTTGCCCAGTACAGCTGGGGCTGCTTAGAGTAGCAGACATATACTGCATGTGTGTTATGTAACAGTTATTTTATAGCCTGAAGGCCTGACATAAACAGAATAGTTTGGCCTCCTTTCCACTGGTATATAAAGTTACATAAAGCTTGATGGCATTGAATCAAGTGTCCCCTTTTTAGGGGGGAGAGGAGCTGGATTCGACTTCTGAGTAATGAAACAAGCTGTACAGTATTTCTGCTGGAGTTCATGTGACCTACTTTTAAATATAAGTAAAGTACTTTAACTTATCTGAGTTTGAATCTACAGCCCGGCTGGGACCAATTTTTGTGGCGTTTCTATGTCCCCGTGTTTGTATGGTTTCTGTACGCTTTTTCTCCCAGTCCAAACACATGCATGTTAGTGTAATTAGTGATTATGAATTTGGTGTAGGTGTGAATGGTTATCTGACTCTCTGTGTAAGCTCTGCAACAGACTGACAACACACCCAGGGCGTACCCTGCATTTTGCCCTATGACAGCTCTGATAGGCTCCAGTCCCACTGCAAAACTGGAGTGGATGCGGGAGAAGATCAGTGGATGGCTAGATGGATTATTATCACAGCTACTCATTGGTTTTAGTGCCAAAAATGTGGTATATTGCACTGTCACATGAACAGAACACCTACGAGTCTATGAGCAAAGTAATTCTGGTCCTCGTTGTTCACCCAGATTCAATGCAGCTCTTAGAAGAAAGATGGGATGGTGGGAAAAAAGCAAAATTTGACTCTAAATGAAATCAACAGGGCAGTGCTTTCACTTTTACGCTCTGCTACAGTAAATTAAAACATCTTTGCCAACAAATGAAGCATTTTATTCACTCGACCTTTAGGGCATCGCTTAGAAGCAAAGTATAAAGTCTTACTCAATTCGTTGTACCTGCATGGATTGATGTGAATACATCTTTTGAATTTAAAATGAATACAATTGTGCTCAGAATATAGGATAACTAAAAAATAAATATGCCATTGCAGGATGCTACTAAATCCAAGGCAGCACTATCTGGAAAAAAAGGCTCACAGACTCGGTGTTTACCAGTTTAGAAAAACCGGAGGTGGTGACACGTCTTTCGCCCAGTATGTTGAACACTTACCCGAAGCCTTCGTTACTCACCGTGTCTCTGTGGATGTATACCCTGACATGCTGCAGAGGCTCACTTTTATGGAGATCTGAGTAGATGTTGGATAAAATCACATTAGCAAGCATTGCCCTGTGTTCTTGGCCTTCATGCATTAATTATACCGCAGTTTGTGGTGTGTTTTTTTTTCACATGGTTGAATAAGTTATTTGTGTTGCTTTGCCTTGCAGACACACCTCCACAGCACTCTCTGCATATGATTTCTTCCTGGTTAACATCAGTTGCACTAAATCCAAAGTATTTCCAAACAAGGGTGATCTGCTTGGAGTGACAAGCTCTTTGCCTTCTGCTGTGCCAGGCATTTAAATTTAACTGTATATCTGTCTTAATCTAGAGTTACTCACTCTGACTACTCCAGGAAACCTCGGGCTGCACGGTACAGGGAACAGCTGTGATTGGCATATGCAGGCGCTTATTCAGGGAGCGTTTTACTTGTTCTATTGGCAGAGTATGCTGCTTTTTTTTTCAATAATTTTTTTTATATTGCACGATCATGCTCTTTTAATTACGGGAAGCCAAAATTGTGATTGAGATTAGAATTATGTGTTCTTTCCAGCTCTGGATTCTTGTGATTCTTTCTCTGTTTCTGGTCTTCACATACTAACACTCAAAGAATCTTGTTTTTCTGTACTGAAGACAACATCTTCAGTGTTCGTAATCACTTAAAATTGCTGTCAGAGTGAGGCTTTTGTAAAAGTAATGCTTTTAGCAGTCTCATGACACAGGCTTTTCCACGTCAGAATCCTGCCTTTTTTCGATAGTTTTGTTAAACAGAGTAGATGCACAAACAGCGTGTTCTGCTCCAAGTACTGCATGCTTGTTCTCATTTTAACAGCAGTGTGATCGTCCAGCAGTGGTTAGTTTGGAACAACGGTGTCATCGTCTCTGACGCATACATACTTTTATACAGAAAATTATGCAAAGGAAGCAAATTTTGAAATTACCTGAAAATAAACTCTTGCTCTGTTGAAGACGGGTACATTGTCACTTGCTGTGCTAATTACAAAAAGGCATTATGCCCTTTACGCCCTTTATTTAAGGGAAACATTAAGTAGAAAGAGTATATGGTGCTCTGTGCGTGTCTGTGTGAGTGAGAGATTGAATATTGGTTGCATTGTCACTAGAAAGTCCGAGCGAGAGGGGGGCCGTGTGGGATGTTTGGCCACAGGTCAAATCCTATCCTCTACCAACTGTTAATGGTGGTTTCTGTGTCTGTAAGTTTCAGCAGGAAAGTGCGTTTTCTGTCTTCATCAGTGGTGCAGCTGTGACTGCCGGTGTGAGTCCTTGAGCTGATTTGAGGAGCTTTCATGGGAAGATGAGCTGTAGATTTCATTTATTTCTTGACTGATCGCGAGTGAATGAGATGCAATGAGAGGATGATGATCACCGTGTTTCCACCGTGCTGCTGTCAAATCAACTGCACTGCAATCTCAGTCTTTCCCATCAGAGATTTAGGGGGAAAAAAATCAGCAAATTATTTCAGAAGTTAAAAAGAAAAATGTCAGAATCAAAGTGAGCTCGCAGGTTCTTTGCTTGCTGGTTTTTAGGCCCAGCAAACCAGTCCATGATGTTTAGCTTTGCTTTATGAAGCTGGTAAATCTACCTGTGGGACCAATAAGTCGGCTTGGCTGGAGCTACCTGTTGTGCAATGTGCTGAGTAAAGTTATCCAAGGTGAGCTGGCAGATGATCAAGAGTGAGCCTTGCTGTGATAATACTGCGTCTGGACTCGTCTGAGTGGGCGTGCGCATTATTTAAAGCCTTCATCTTCATCCAAGAGAAGAAAAAAGGTCATGGTTTTAGCTTGTGCTGCTAAATGCAGGTTTAGGATCTATTTTTGCTGGTCAGACACTTTAGTGAAGCCTTTTTTTTTCGATAATATTGCTCAAGATTTCTGCGGTAAGGATCATATCTGTGGCAGTGAAACTTTACATAGGGGTTAAATATTCTTGTTTGTAGCAGAATTATATTGATATAAAACAAAAAAGGGGAAAAAAGAGAGCAAAACTTTGCTTTTACTGATCCACGCTGGGTAATGAAAGGCACATCTGCTCTGTGATCCTGTGAGCAGCGTTGGTGTAATTTTTCTCCTGCTGAGAGCTGGACCTTTAAAAGCATCCTAGAAACTCCTACAGAGAGATAAAGAGAGCTCTTTATGTCTCTCTTTGTGGCTTTTTCTCACTGGCTTTGTCTGTCTGCACTGTAGTTCTTTCTTTCATTTGCAGGTCAAGATCCTTATAATGTCTGTCTCACAGCGCCTTTAAAAAGCTCACATCCTGTCTTTTTAGAAAATCTAAATCCATGTTCTCATTTCCTGATTTTAAGATAACATTGTGTTTTTTCACACCTTCTCTTTCAAGGCTACATGATTATGGCCAAAATGATTATCACGATTATTTCGTTGTTTCAGACATTTACATTTTTTTGTCTGTCTTTCTTTTAACTTAGTGTTATTCATCCAGACTGCAAACCTGGATGTAACGGCTGTGATTGGCACGTAGTCGAGGATTTAGGGAGCGCTTGATTTGTGTCTGTTTTGCATGCTATCAACGAAGCATGCATTTTCAGTATCGCTCGATCGTTTCATTTAAGTGTGGGAAGCCAAAATGGTGATCGAGATTAAAATTTGATGAATTGAGCAGCCTTACTCTCTTATCGTTCAGCATTTTTTTTTAGTATTTGAGCCCCTTACCTGCCTTTCCTGGACGTAGCTAAAAGGGTTTAAACAGTGGGGCACTAGATTTTTATATTTATTTATTTATTGGGCTGACATGAAGTAAGCTGTATTTTCTGCATACATTTTTATTTTTTACAACATGATTATTCTAGAAGAATGGAAGATATCTCGAAATCTTCTGATCAGTAGCCAGGAGCTGTTTTTTGCCTGACCAGAGAATAAAAATGACCAAGTTACCTCCCATATTTTGGAAAACTCTGAGATTGTGCGACAGATTTTACCCTTTATATGTGTTTTTAAGCACCAGATGAAAACTGGACTGATACAAAGTCAGGTAGGGCATTTAAAGGATTTAACTACCTGCTGATTACAGAGCTAAATAATCTCTTATCTAATGATTTATTAGTACTGTGTAATGTGTGTGTGTCTGTACATATAAAGGATTGATGACGTTGTGTGTCACTAGGGCACAAAATGCTGTAGGTAGGTTTGAACATTTCAGAAAACATAAAATGACCTGTGTTGTGACGCAGCGAGGAAGGTCGATGATAAAAACAATCATCCCTTACATCTTCCTTTTCAAACTGTGCTGAGAGGCACAGTTTGAACAAAGAGCCATCACTTTCTGTTCCTTAAAAAATGTGTTCTGTCAGTTTGTGTGTATGTGTGTTGTTTATTGTGTGTTTTCTATATTTCAGGTGTAGATTTGCTGGCCATGCTGAGGTAGCAGCGGCCTTTTAGGTCAGGATGTCTGATGATGAAATCGAGTGGTTCAATGGGAAGGAGAGAGAGATCTGCTACATCAGTGATGCGGACGAAGACAATTATGGAGACGATGAAGATGAGGGTCAGCTGGGTGAGTCACGTTAGTGAATGAAGACCATCTCACCTGCCTGTGTTTTGTTGCATCTTCTACAAAGATGCAAGTGAGTCGGGCTCAGGATCAATGGGTTATTTCAATTTGAATAAACCAAAATTATACTCTGAATTTATAAATGACAAGTACAAATAGCCGTTTTACCAAAAAATGTGTGTGATGCAAAATTTAAATGGACTGAGGAACTTTCATAAAAGAAAGCATTTTGCTTTTATTCCTTACTGATCAAGAATTAAGAGCACATTACAAACCACTGCAGATTCTTCAGTAAATTTCACAGAATTTTTTTTTTCTGGGTAAAATAATTCAGGTTATATTTAATAAAACTAAAAGACTGTTTGTCAAAGCAATAAGCCTCAAGAGGTCTGCAGTCATCATAGAATAGCTAATTGCCATCATTATTAGGGACTTTTTGGTTTTTATAAAACAGTCACTACATATACCTGATGAAGCCGAATAAAATAAAAAACAAGGAAACCAAAAAAACAGATTAAACATCAAAGCAGTGTAGTGCCTCAGGGATCTTTTGCAGAGTAGTTGCAAAACAATATGCAGAAACAGCAACGCCCAGCACAGTGGGTGTCATGCTTAAAGATATGGGTGATTATTAACATTTTTCTATCACGATGGCTTTTGCAAGTCTTGAAGGAGCGTTTGCATTCCTTTTTGCTGGAATAGAGGTGCTTGACTATGACACGGGTGTTTTAATTGCACGCAACCAGAAGGAAGGATATCACTCCAGCTTCATCTAGTATCAGGACCTGGGAGATTGCAGAGATGATTTTATGCCCCATTGTGATATGCTTGCTCTTCCCTCTAGGGTACCATTAGAGATTTGTACAGTGGTGCTTCACACGCATAGACTGTATATAAAAGATGGACCACAGTGGCTTGGGGTGCTTTGCTCTTTGCTGTTAGTGTTTTGGCTGCCACCATGTTTTGTTAATCTATTGTTTTGTTTTTTTATTGGAGTCAAAAGTAATCCCCCCCTTTTTTTTTGTAGATTGAAGCCTAGAATGCTATGCTATCAGCTAAGGCTAGCAAGGTGCACCCATAGACTGTTATGGATACAGAAATCTGCTAATGAATGCTGAATAACATACAAACAGAACATTATAATTTCACCTGGCAAAACTGGAGCACAGCCTCCATTAATTTAATCCATTTACATTGCATCTATTTAATGCAATGTAATGAATTTGAATGAAAAGGCAACAATACCACACATACCGAGATGCAGTTCTTTGACTGGAATTAGCAGAGGTGAGGCCGAGCAGACGGCTAGCAGCTGCATACAGTTTTCAGTCTAAGTGGCCACGCCTGTAATTGTAGGCCCTTTAAGTTTAAAAAGTTGAGTTACCCCCCAAAAAAGCAACAAAAAACAAGCCCCAGGGCAGTTATTAAAAAGCCCTAAAGTAGCTTTAAAGAGTAATCTGTAGCTATAAACATGATTTATTATGTAACATAGGAGCATTGTAACAGAGGAGTCTAGTGGGATTGACTCACTTTTGGAGCCAGGCTCAAGTGGCCTCATCTTTCAGAGCCGTCTGAATCTGCATGATTGTGAAAGTCACCTATAAATATAATGACTTGCAGTTTTTAACAGAATCTAAAGACGATGCCGCCTCAAACAGAGTTTGTGGGTGGGCAGAGAAAAGTTTAATTCTCTCTTTTGTTATTCAAGTCTACATCTGACACAAATGACTGCAGCTACTTTCTCTGCTTTGTCATCTGACTCACATGTAAACAGACACATTTTTCACAGAAGCCACCAGATAACTGAAGTGACCCAGCAGCTTTATTCTCTGTGTGTGACCAGACCGGCTCTCCTCAGCAGCCTCTGCTGTTCTGTCCTCCCTCAGGAAACAAACCAAACTCTCATCTCCACCTCTTCTCTTATTTCTTCTTTTGCCAGTATGTGTTACATAACCTGGTGAATCATCTATTAGCTCTATTAAATGCAGAGGTGTGTGTGTGTGTGTGTTTTGTGTGTAGGAGGCATGATTTAAACTTTGATTGGATAACTTCAGTGACATAGTGTTTCAGGGACCTCACAAAGGGCAAAGTTAATGTTTTTTCCCTGCAGTATTTACATGTTTTAGGATTTCTACCGAAATCTAAAAACTCATTGTTCACTGATCTGACGTCTTAATTTGTTGTTGTAAAAGCAAAGACAAAGAATGGGAGATTAACTGAAGGAATCACAGTGTCAGTGTCCTTGAATTTTAATTCTACGTTTTCCTTTTTTCTCTAATGTGTGTGTGTGTGTGTGTGTGTGTGTGTGTGTGTGTACGTCTGTCATTAGAGGATGAGCCTGGGCTTGACTTAGATTTTTGTGGGGACTTACCTTTGAGTTTATGGTTAGGACTTGGGTTTAGGTTAAGGATGAGATTAGGGAAGGGATCATGTAAATGTGTGTGGTTGACTCCTTTTGTCTCAGTTTCATTTTTGTTTACCACCCAACCATAATGACTGTATAGTTGAGCATACTCAAAGCTAACCAAGTGCCCACTGTGTGTGTACACAAACACTACACTACAGGTCTCCTTCCTTGTCTTGTGAGTGCCTTTGCTCTTTGTTTTTTTGCCTTCTTTGGTTTCTGACCAAAGGCGGCAGGTTTTTTTTGTTTTGTTTTGTTTTTTGCAGCGAACCCGGAGCCTTTTCAAAACGATGACACATTTTAGTCATGTGATGCAGTCATGTGACCAATTAAACTAAGATAGCAGAGGGTATTATAAAGAACTTGTTTTGTTTGCTCTCAATTTTGACAGCCCTATTAAAGATTAATATCAGTCTGTACATGCTCCAGCTTTTCTTCAAATCCAACGTTGTACTTTTGTGTTACTCGGAGCAACAACTCCACCTCAGTGTTAGTCCATTTAAAAAACTCTGCTTTTCCTCAACATTTTGTCAGAAAGTAAATAAACGGCTGACAGAAATGAGGCAGGCCGAAACTTGTTGCGTTTTACGCATGTGCAGTACTGGAACGTAAGCGTTTTCGGCCATTTCAATGTGGACGCACAACTCTGTGAAAACAACTGAAAACAATAATGTGGACGCAGAGCGTTTTCAGACGAAAACGCCGTTTTCAAATTTATCCAGGCTAGTGTGGACGTAGACTAAGACAGCTGGGATAGGGATAGCCTCCAGGCTCCGCGACCCTGACAAGAATAAGCAGAAGAGAATTGAATATGAAATAGATGCAGCGATTTTTTGAAACGTGCATGTGTCATGTAAATACAGTATATACGGCAAAAACAAAGTTTGTACAATTCTAATGAGCTTGAAGATCAATATTTGTATGACTGACTGCAGCACAGCCTGAACTCTCTTAGGCAGCTTTCTTGTCATTTCTTTCAGGAATAGGTCTCCAGGTTTCTTGAAGGACATTCAAAGCTCTTCTTTGAATGTTTCTGCCTTTTGTTCTGTTCTCTGTCACACACTGTTTCAGTAGTGTTTAGTCCTGTGCTCCGGGGAGCCAATCCAAATTTTCACATTTGGATTCATCATTCCATTAGACCTGTTTTTAAGGACAGGGCTGTCAGTTACTTTTCATCTCTTCATCATATACCATTGACAGGAAGCATCTGTCGCGGAGACGGTTGTTACCTGTATTCTGGCCTTTTACCTATATTCAACTAAAGTACATTTTTGTAACAGGCTGCTAGCAACAAGTCCCTAAGGGTACAGGTTAAAACTGGTTTTCAAATTTTTTTGTTGAGTAGACACAACACCGGTTCATCTGATGAGTTCAGTGACTTTTTTATGCTTGAATGATTCATAGATCAGTCTTAAGTGGCTTTAAAAAAAAACAAACAAAAATAACATTCCTCTGAAAATGCTCGTGTACAATGACTGGACCTAAAATGAGTGAAAAAACAACCAGTGTTGAAAGAAAAACATTGAAAGCCTGGAGAACTGTGGCTCAAGACCACTTCAAAAATAACAAAGTCGAGTTCCTTGGGAGCAAAATATAAATTAATGAAGGGGCGTCTCAAGACTCGCACTGTACTGTACAAAATCTTTCGTAACATTTGCTGAATTCTTACATTTTGTGAATTCAGAACAAAAGCTAGCCTCTGTTTAAAAAAAAAAAAAAAAGTGATCATGTCACAATTTTTTTTTTTGCCTTTTTTGTCATCTTTAAAAGTTTAGAAATGATCTTTCTTGATTTAAGCAGAGTGAGAATTTTGGCACCTCTGTCATATCTGTATCCTACAAAACTGGACGTTCTTGAACACCCACTTATTGATATTACGTTGGCTGTGAGCACACGGGATGCCTTAAAATAGGTCAGCACATTCGTTTAGCCTTTTCCTTAGTGTAAGAAGCTTTATGGGCCTCATATATAGCCTCATATCCACATACTGGTTAATTCATGTGGTCAGTTTAGTTTAGCTTTGTACATTACACCTAGTTGTTGCTGTTAACTAAAAAGCAATTTCTCTCGCCAACCAATTTTGTGACTTTTGTTTTTAAAAAACAGACATTTAAATATTTGTTGTGCTTTGTTGTTGTGTATTTATATGCTAAGTGAAAATGAAGCTACCAGTTACACAGTTTATAGCAGTGTATCAGTATTCACATCTTACACTCAAGCAGAAAGTAAATGAGCCTATTAATTTTTCCTTTTTTTGTTCTTTTCCTCCAAAAGCCTGAAGCACCATTCAACGAGATTCTTGCTGTTGCTTAACAACAGCAAGCTTGGGTCAGTTAAACTACACTTAAGTCTCAGCCGCAGCTCTGCTCAGTCTAAATGTGTGAGTAAGTAAGTTGGCTCTGTTTACAAATGTAACGTTTATTCCAGTGGTCAGTGGGGATATTCCTTTTTGGCGTGTAGTGGTGAGTACTGTATCTCTGCAGGTCTTCAGCTCTTTTAATAATTCCTTGAATGGCCATATCTGTCTTGTGGAATCAGATCTGGGAGTGGGTAGAAGCGCATCATGCTTGAAGTTTGCAGCCTGTGGAGACCTCTTTGG